TTCTCTTTCTCCTAGTTCATTGTTAGTGTATAAGAATGCAACAGATTTCTGTGTATTAATTTTGTATCCTGCAACTTTGCTGAATTCAGATATTAGATCTAGTAGTTTTGGTGTGGTTTCGTTAGGGTATTTTACATACAATATCATGTCATCTGCAAACAGGTACAGTTTGACTTCTTCCTTGTCAATCTGGATGCTTTTTATTTCTTTGTGTTGTCTGATTGCCGTGGTGAGGACCTCCAGTACTATGTTGAGTAAAAGTAGGAACAGTAGGCATCCTTGTCTTGTTCCCGATCTTAAAGGAAAAGCTTTCAGGTTCTCTCTGTTAAGCATAATGTTGGCTGTGGTTTGTCATATATGTCCTTTATTATGTTGAGGTACTTGTCCTCTATACCCATTTTGTTGAGTTTTTATCATGAATGGATGTTGAATTTTGTCAAATGTGTTTTCAGCATCTATGGAGATAATCATGTGGTTTTTGTCCTTCTTTTTGTTGATGTGGTGGATGATGTTGATGGATTTTCGAATGTTGTACCATCCTTGCATCCCTGGGATGAATCCCACTTGATCATGATGGATGATATTTTTGATGTATTTTTTGAATTCGGTTTGATATTTTGTTGAGTATTTTTGCATATATGTTCATCAGGGATATTAGTCTATAATTTTCTTTTTTTGTGGTGTCTTTGCCTGGTTTTGGTATTAGAGTGATGTTGGCCTTGTGGAATGAGTTTGGGAGTATTCCCTCCTCTTCTACTTTTTGGAAAACTAAGGAGGATGGATATTAGGTCTTTACTAAATGTTTGATAAAATTCAGCAGTGAAACCATCTGGTCCTGGAGTTTTGTTCTTAGGTAGTTTTCTGATTACCAATTCAATTTCCTTTCTGGTAATTGGTCTATTCAGATTTTCTGTTTCTTCCTTGGTCAGCCTTGGAAGGCTGTCTTTTTCTAGAAAGTTGTCCATTTCTTCTAGGTTATCCAGCTTGTTAGCATATAGGTTTTCATAGTATTCTCTAATAATTCTTTGTATTTCTGTGGTGTCCATAGTGACTTTTCCTTTCTCATTTCTGATTCTATTAATGTGTGTAGACTCTCTGTTTTTCTTGATAAGTTTGGCTAGGGGCTTATCTATTTTGTTTATTTTCTCAAAGAACCAGCTCTTGCTTTCATTGATTCTTTCTATTGTTTTATTCTTCTCAATTTTATTTATTTCTGCTCTAATTTTTATTATGTCCCTCCATCTACTGATTTTGGGCCTCATTTGTTCTTCCTTTTCTAGTTTCATTAATTGCGAGTTTAGACTGTTCATATGGGATTGTTCCTCCTTCCTGTATTGCAATATACTTCCCTCTTAGCACAGCCTTTGCTGTGTCCCACAGATTTTGTGGTGTTGAATTATTGGTGTCATTTGTCTCCATATATTGCTTGATCTCTGTTTTTATTTGGTCATTGGTCCATTGATTATTTAGGAGCATGTTATTAGGCCTCCATGCATTTGTGGGCCTTTTCATTTTCTTTGTGTAATTTATTTCTAGTTTTATATCTTTGTGATCTAAGAAGCTGGTTGGTACAATTTCAATCTTTTAAAATTTATTAAGGCTCTTTTTGTGGCCTTGTATATGATCTATTCTTGAAAATGTTCCATGTGCACTTGAGAAGAATGTACATACTGTTGCATTTGGATGAAGTGTTCAGTAGATGTCTGTTAGGTCCATCTGTTCTAATATGTTGTTCAGTGCCTCTCTCTTCACTTATTTTCTGCCTGGTTGATCCGTACTTTGGAGTGAGTGGTGTGCTGGAGTCTCTTAAAACGAAAGCATTGCATTCTATTTCCCCCTTTAATTGTTAGTATTTGTTTCACATATGTAGGTTATCCTGTGTTGGGTGCATAGATATTTATAATAATTATGTCCCCTTGTTGGACTGATCCCTTCATCATTATGTAATGTCCTTCTTTGTCTCTTGTTACTTTCTTTGTTTTGAAGTCTAATTTGTCTGATACAAGAACTGCAACAACTGCTTTTTTCTCCCTATTAGTTGCATGAAATATCTTTTTCCATACCTTTACTTTCAGTCTGTGTATGTCTTTGCATTTGAAGTGAGTCTCTTGTAGGCAGCATATAGATGGGTCTTACTTTTTTATTCATTCAGTGACTCTGTGTCTTTTGATTGGTGCATTCAGATCATTTACATTTAGGGTGATTATCATTGCCATTGCAGGCTTTAGGTTTGTGGTGACCAAAGGTTCAAGGGTAATTCCCTTACTATCTGACTACTTTAATTCACTTCATATGCTATTACAAACATAACCTAAAGGGGTTTTTTTCCCTCCTTTTTCTTCCTCCTCCATTCTTTATATGTTAGGTATCATATTATGTCCTCTTTGTCTATCCCTTGATTGACTTTGGCAGTAGTTGATTTTATTTTGCATCTGCTTAGTAATTAATTGTTGTACTTTGCTGTGGTTTTATTTCCCATGGTGACATGTATTTAGCCTTAGGAATACTTCCATCTATAGCAGTCCCTCCAAAATGCACTGTAGAGGTAGTTTGTGGGAGATAAATTCTCTCAGCTTTTTGAAAATTATTTAATGCCTCCTTCAGATTTAAATAATAACCTTGCCAAGTAGAGTGTTCTTGTTTCAAGGCCCTTCTGTTTCATTGCATTAAATATGTCATGCCACTCCCTTCTAGCCTGTAAGGTTTCTGTTGAGAAATATGATGATAGCCTGATGGGTTTCCTTTGTATGTGGTCTTTTTTCTCTCTCTAGCTGCTTTTAAAAGTCTGTCTTTATCCTTGATCTTTGCCATTTTAATTATTATATGTCTTGATGTTATCTTCCTTGGGTCCCTTGTGTTGGGAGATCTGTGCACCTCCATGGCCTGAGAGACTATCTCCTTCCCTAGATTGGGGATATTTTCAGCAATTACCTCCTCAATGACACTTTCTATCCCTTCTTCTCTCTTCTTCTTCTGGTACCCTATAATGTGAATATTATTCCATTTTGATTGGTCACACAGTTCTCTCAATATTATTTCATTCTTAGAGATCCTTTTTTCTATCTGTGCCTCAGCTTCTTTGTATTCCTCTTCTCTAATTTCTGTTCCATTTACCATTTCTTCTAGTACGTCTAATCTGCTTTTAAATCCCTCCATTGTATGTTTCATTTCAGATATGGAATTTCTTAATGATTCCAGCTCCATCTTAAATTCATCCCTGAGTTCTTGAATATTTTTCTGTACCTCCATGAGCATGTTTATGATTTTTATTTTAAACTCTCTTTCAGGAAGATTGGTGAGTTCAATTTCATTTGGCCCTTTTTCTGGTGTTTGTGAGATTTTGGTCTGAATCAGGTTCCTCTGACATTTCATAATTAATTGTAAGTGGTGGCCTCTATGCCCAGAAGCTCTAGTCTCTGGAGCTGCTCAGCCCCTAGAGTGAGGTTGGGAGTTGTAGGGGAGCAGAGCTGATGCCTGGGGGAGGATAGAGCTGTTTCCTGATTCCTGGTTGCAGTGTCTGTCTCCAGTATCAGAGCCAGTGGGCTGAGCACACAGGTGTAAGCCTCTGTGCTTGGCATCTCTAGCTGTTGTAGGTGGGGCCTCCCTCTGGCTGGCCTGATGCCAGCGCAGTGACTGCTGGTTTGTGAGCAGGTGCTGGAGGAAGGCACAGCAGGCTGCATGTCACAGTGGGGGGCCTCAGAGATGAGTAGGCAGCCAGGGGGATGGAGTGCCTGAAGCTCCTCAAAATTCTCACCTGCTGGGCAGAACACCCCAGACAACCTTTTCCGCCTATCCCTTCTCCTGAGTAGCAAGCTGTGTGCAAACCCTGCCCCTTCAGCAGCCCTCTCACCACTAGGAAGCCTCTCCGACCTCCTGCCTTTCCTTTGTCCCAGAGCAGCCAGATGTGGATCCCTGTCCTCCACAAATGGTCTGAATCTCAGTATCTAAAGCATTCTTCCTGTCCCAGCTCCCCAACCTCACCAACCTCCAGAGCACCACACAATGTAGGTTTATGCTCCAAAGCAGCCCTCCAGGGCTGGGTATTCAGCAGTCTTAGGCTTCCACCCCCTCCCTGCTCCATTTCTCTTCCTCCTTCCTGTGAGCTGGGGTGGGGGAAGGGCTTGGGTCCCACTGGATCAAGGCTTTCATACATTACCCTGTTTCATGAGGTCTGCTCTGTTCATGAAGTCTGTATGCAGTCTGGTGCAGCCTTCTTTCCTGTTGTTGTTTTAGGGCTAGTTGAATTAACTATATTTTCACACTATACATGGTTTTGGGAGGAGTTCTCTGCCTCACCTCTCACGCCACCATCTTGAATCCTTTGCTTTGTTTTTATATCCCACAAATAACTGAAATCATATGGTATATATCTTTCTCCACTTGGCTTATTTCACTGAGCATAATACCTTCTAGCTCCATCCATGTTGTAAGAGCACGAAATTTAGAGTCACACAATGCCATGACTAGGCTCCACCCTTATTGTGTAACCCAATGCAACTCACTTCCAACTCTTTGGGCCTTACTGAACTCATTTGTAAAATGGGGATGATAATGCTAACCTCATAGGCTTCCTATGAGGGCTTTAATAACATCATGCTCACACTTCACACAGTAACATAATAAGCTCAGTGAATGATATCATTATTAGCAGTACTAGTATTTGAATTAAAAACAGGAAGGATCACTTAAGATAATTATTTTGAAATGCTTTGAAAATAGAGGTGGTGGTTTCACAACACTGTGAATGTACTAAATGCCACCGAACTATTTGCTTTAAAGAATTAAAATTACGTTAGGTCAATTTTACTTCAGTTAGAAAAAAGACTCTTATCTGGGACAAGGTCATAGATTTCAGGCACACTTATGGTCATGAACCATGTTTTTCCTGAGAGTCTTGGGTCAGCCTAGGGGGAAGAGGATAGAACGCTAATCAATGAGTTTGGCAGAGGGAGCAGGGGGTTTAGATGTCAAATACATCTTCCCTGCTCCAGTCACGTCCCATGTCCAAGGCCTGGCTGGTGCAGCTCTCTCTGCCTTGTGCGCTCTCTTCTCTTCCCCTACCTAGAAATTCGTCCCT